CCCCAAAACCCCAAAACCCCAAAACCCCAAAACCCCACTTATTGTAATCATGTAAATAATAGGGTAATGCATATCTTTGAAAATCTAATCTTATTAAATCCTGCTATATATTAATTTTATATCACAAATATAGTTTCACATAATATTATCAAATAGTTAGAATGAGCAGTTAATCCCTCTTCATGCACTCCAGAAGATTTTTCTCAACTTCTGGTAGAAATGTCGTCATTGTAGGTGGCCGTCGTACTGCAATTGGAAGCTTTATGGGTCAACTTTCCAATATGACTGGTCCATAACTCGGATCAATGGCTACTAAAGGAGCACTCGCATCATGCCACGTTGATCCAAAGGAAATCGAAGAAGTCTATATGGGCAACGTTATCTCTGCAGGTTCAGGTCAAGCCCCTGCTAGACAAGTAGCTCTAGGATCAGACATGAGATACGACACAGTATGTACCACAGTTAACAAGGTGTGCGCAAGTGGAATGAAAGCAGTAATGCTCGGATCCTCAGCCATCAGACTAGGTGACAGAGATATCGTCGTCGCAGGAGGAATGGAAAGCATGTCAAAACTACCTCACTACATTTATCTTAGAAAACCAACTAGCTACGGTCATGCTTAAGTAGTAGATTCAATCTAATTCGATGGTTTGACAGATGTCTACAATAATATCTTAATGGGAAGCTGCACCGAAAAGGTTTGCTCAGAGATGGGAATCACCAGAGAAGCCTAAGACGAGTACGCAATCAAGTCCTATCATAGAGCCAGAGCAGCACAGGAAAAGGGAATTTTAGATTGGGAGATTGTAGATATTGTCGAGGAAATCAAAGGCAAGTAGGTTAGAATTAACAAAGATGAGGAATGCCAGAAATTCTTGCCTGAAAAGTTCCCACAACTCAAGCCAGCCTTTGCCAAAAATGGAACCATTACAGCTGCCAACTCCTCTAAGCTTAATGACGGTGCTTGTTCATTCATTCTTATGAGCGAGCAAGCTGCCAAGGATAGAGGACTTAAGCCTCTTGCTAGAATTCTTGGCTACGATGATGCTGAAGTCGCCCCCATTGATTTCGGTATTGCCCCAACCAAGGCATGCAAGAGCCTCTTGAACAAGCTCAAGATGAACATTAAAGATGTCCAATATCATGAATACAATGAAGCTTTCGCTGCTGTTGTTCTCGCTAATATGAAAATGCTCGATATCGACCCAGAAACTGTTAACGTTCATGGTGGTGCTGTAGCTCTAGGTCACCCTATTGGTATGAGTGGTGCTAGAATTATTTTGAGTTTAATCAATGTTTTGAAGTAAAAGAATGCCTCAGTTGGTATGGCCAGTATTTGCAACGGAGGTGGTGGTGCCTCAGCCATTATGATTGAGAGACTCAACTGATCATATGTAACTCTTTAATAATCTAGATGCTTATTGTGTCAGCAGATTTTATTTAAATCATTTGATTCATACTTAATAGTCTCTTATGATTTTCATGGGGTTTTGGGGTTTTGGGGTTTTGGGG